ATGACTAAAATAGTTGGGGAGGCAAAGAAACGGATGAGCAGATTGCTCCTGGCCCAACAATCTTTGATCCACTAGAAACTGGAAGAACTATGCACAGCAAAAGAGCCCCTGGTGTGACTCATAATTAGGCTGATGCTACCGATGGAATAAGCTCATTAAGGGATGTTAAAAATGTAAATATAATTTTAAAACCAAATTTTCTGAAAATGTAGGTTTAAAAATAGAAAATTAAGCATGGCGAAATGGTGACAGGCAGTTTAAAGGCAAATGCAATGATCCCAGACAAGCATTTTGCTGAAACCTAGAAATCCTTTGTACCTTTCTAGACTGATTATGGTGGATGGAGAGCAGTTACTTTGAAGTGTTTAGCTTTCCATGGGGTCATAACCCTCCAGCTAGCAGACTGCATTTGGGATCCTCTTTAAGGGTAATAACTCTGTTGCTTTTGTGCAGCCACATGTACTGAAAAAAGGTTGTATTGATTCTTTGGATTTTCCAAGTTAATAGGTAAAAGGTTTGTTCTAGGGCAAAGCAGACAACTTTGGTTATGAGCAAAGGCCTAGCTGGTTGAACATATAAAACAGAACGTGGAAAAGGAATCTGTTATAACTCAAAACTCGAAGGCTTGTGGATAACGAACTAAGAGAAGGCATTGTAAATGAAGAATGTGCTACACTTTTGATTGGTCACTTGAGAAACCCAATCTTTCGGGGAGCTAGTGAAAAGACTAAATTAAGAAAAACTTCCATTAATTGTCCAAATCATGGCCCAATCATACCCATTCTTATCCAGAACTGAGTAAGAGTGGACCAAGGATGCCTTTAAGTAACGTCCACACAGAATATTTTCCAAAGGAATAGAGGGCGACAATCTAAGAATTGACATTGTTCAGTTACACTACTCCTTGGAACTCAGATTAATAAGTTGCTTGTCATCCAATTCCTAAGAGGTGAAAATTTAAACTTCCATATTAATAATCTCTTGCTTTAATTGACACAATAGCATGAAGATACCAAGTCACGAGAGTGTTTATTAGAAGTCAAGGTAAAAGAGTAAAATCTCCACCATAAATCAAGCCAGTGGTATATAATCTTCTCTCAGAAGTTGAAGATTTTATGTTTGGGGGAGACATTCTGGATTGAAGGACCTTTGTTTCCTGTCATGAGATGAACTTAGAGATTTAAAGGGGAACAAGAGGAAGATGAGACAAAACAAGACAGACATGGCTGCTTATGAAAATTGACACTCTTTTGAAGAAATAGGATTATCTGGTGACAACCTGCCACACCTCACCTAACACTCACCCACGCCTCCCTGACTTGGGAAATTGTAAGATCTCAAATGGCCATTTCTTTACCTTGTTTCTAAAGATGACTACAAAGTACAAATGACAACATATACATATATTAATGAATTCATAAATGCCTCAGGGAAAGAACTAAGTCTCTGGTCAAATTTAATTTAGAGAAAAAAATATTAATTAATCCTTCATAGGGAAATAATTTATTCATGTTGTCACTAATGTATCTCATAAGGAACACTATTGTCTTAATTATAATATTATTATCACTTGCAAATAAATCCCAGCAAAAACTTAAGTTTGACCATGACTAATAGAAAAATTATGAAATGACAGTGTTGTATATCATTGTACACAAAACCCCTCAATTCCATAGCAATTAAATCCCCACCAAATTCAATGATGATAAGTGTGATTAACATATCCTAAATATATAAAAAGTATTCATGTCTTTTGAATAATAAGTGCTTACTACTTTTGCAAATCCATCTGGTTCATTTTATTCTCAACTCCATAGCAAGTCTGACATATGTGGTCAATTCCTTCTCTCTTTCTCTCTTTAAAATATAAATTAGTAAAAAGAAGTAGCTTATTTAATGAGGAAAATAAAATTTTAAAGACAAGATTTTATCTTAATAAACCTATTATTATTGATGTCAATCATCAGGGAGAAAAACATTCAAATAAAGCCTCATATGGTTCAACAGTTCAATTATTAAGTCCCTGAGGATAAATATGTGTTCTAAATTAGTAGAAAGAGAACAGATTTTAGATAGCACCACTAGTCGGGGTAAATGGTCTCCCTGGCACACTATCCTAATTCGAGAACATCATTAAAATATCACGCATCCAAATAGCCAAAAAAGGTAGAAGCAACTCGAGTGTCAAGGACATATATAGGGCCCAACTTTTTTTTTTGCCCCAGACACAAAGAGACATGACTCCTGCTTTGCTTCCTTAATGACCTAATAAATTCACGTTAACCATAATTGCTTGTATGTTTCAAGCAATTTTTCAGAAAAACGATATTTTTAAACAACAAAGTATGATAATAATTTACGTTTGTGGTTTATTTTCTTTTAGTCAGTGTACCTTTATATAGTTATAGTTCATTCTCTTACAATATTATATGCACTATTCAAACTTCGATAAAAGCATTAGTTTATAAAAGAATCATGTAAATAAATTGATATTTAAAATAAATTTTTGAAAAGCAATCATGCAAAGCTCAGATCATGGGGAGTTTCCAATACTTTAATTTTATGGTTAATTTAGGCTCTAAGGAGAAATCCCTTTTTATGTACCAACTTCTGCAATTAAATTCTTTTGTCAAGCTTTTGATAGTGGGCATGGTACGGTGAATATAATTGAGTTTTCAATGATAGATGACTACACAGTGCCTCAGAGTCACGAATTATTGTTTATATACAACATTCTCAGTGCAAAGTTTTAGGAGAAGGAGCTGAATGTATCCCCCATGGCAAGATATACATGAAATTTGCTTTTAGGATCCAATTTCCAATTTTAAAATCAAAGATAATAAGTTTTTTCATGTGGTTCGTTGAATTAAATGTGTATAACATATATGTCTTTTCATAAGTAACAGTTCTTAAGGTCAACTTTATATTAAAGATTATATTAAACCTTTTTCATAAGTTTGTTTTATTTTACCTAATTGTATTTTTTGGTTTTTTTCTGCAGACTGATTTCAGGATATTCAGAGCATTGCAAACTGTTTCTGTTCCAGCAGGTGTCAGACTTTCCCAGTGAGCAGACCACAAAGGCAGGCTAACTTGCTGTGATGCTTAATTCTATGCTTCATCGAGTTCCTGTAAACTGACTTTTTTAACGTTTTCGCCTACATAGTAAATTTTTAAAATTATAACTGTATATTCAGAAAAACAGAAGGTGTGGAAATACAAAATGTTTTCACTTAATTACCAAAACTATACAAGCATTCATTAAATTCTAGCCTATAAAATACAATATACTATATTTATATATTTAGTAGTAATTTAGTGAGTAGATACAGTAAAATAATGAAATAAAGAAAATAATGAAATAAAGAAAATGATTAATGAGAAAAAACTGATACAGAATATACTTTATATAGTATTTGTTTCCCTGGCAGTTATATAAGAGGTGCATTTATTTCCCAAGGATATAAGAAAATACCCTTTTGTATAATAATATGTTTCTTTTTAGAATTTTATGACAGGTAAGAATAATCCCTTTTCTTGGATGCCATTAGACCTAATAATTTTGCAAACAACACGTGAATTTAACTGATCAGTTTCTTCACATCTAAAACCTACTCATTGATACAAAATGAGCAGAAAAAAATGCGTATTATGATAGCAGAATTAATTTAATGGTTGGTTTTATAATTTTAAAACAATGATTTAAATCAGGTATTTCTTTTTTTAATTTACAAGTAACCTAATAAAACGTTTGAAATTCATCATTCTAACATTATGTTAGAAGTCATAAATCATTTCACTTAAGCTACCTCTTACACATAAAACAAATTATGTAGCTTTCAGAAAAAGAATATAACAAATGAAATTTTAAAACAAACAAGTAATTAAACTCTGCAAAAAAGCATCTTGTTTTTCTGCATGTTCAATTTTTATCTTCCTTCTGGCTCACCTCATTAACATTTTAACATATTTATGGCCACTCTGTATATAAAATAAAATTTAAAAAGAAACAAAAACAAAAAATGGAAATCTGGACTGGCCTTGGTTTCTGATTCATTTTTCATCTCCCTTTTATTGCAAAAAGAAAAAAAAAAAAACCCTCAAAAACTGCTCAATAGAGTTGACCAGAACTGCTGTCTCCTTTTTTTCACCTTCCTTCACGCCTCAGTTCACTGCAACCAGAGTGCAGTGCTGGCTTCACTACTTCACCGCCATGCTAAAACCCTAGATATTTTCAGTCCTCATTTTATTGTCTTTTTAACCAGTATTTCACATTATTGATCACTTACCTCCTTCTTAAAATATTTTCTTCCTTTGCTCTATGACACCACATGTTTCTAGTTTCCTTCCCAACTTCTCTGGGTAACCCATTCAAGGCTCTATTGCAGGCATCCGCCACATTAGTGCATCAAATATCGGAGGCTCTCCAATCATGATTCTGCGCCCTTCTTTCTTTCAAGATCATCCATATGTATGACTTAATATACTTCTATACATCAGTGCTTTCCCAGATTTAAATCTCTAGTCTTGATTTCCCCTCTGAGTGCCAAACTCATCCCATAATTTGTTATTCCACTGAGTTTTATTGAGCTTTCTATGTGCCTAAAACTAGGCAGGGAAGAGAGCAGCTGGAAAAAAAAAAAAAAAAAAAAGGCAAGGCTGCTGCTCCCATAGGATCCACAGGATACGTGTTCTATTTTGGAAAGATGTAAAATACACCGCTGTCTACATAAATAGAACAAATGACTCAAATAAGTGCTATGAAGAAAAAAATAAGGATGATAAGGAGTGGGGAGTGAGAGGATAGACAGCTTTACATTGGCTCGTCAGAGAAGGTCTCTTTGAGGAGCTGACATTGAAGGTGAAGCTGCAAGTGACATATGAACCCCTCATTGTAAATGCTATGGGAAAGGCATTCCAGCAAGAGCCGAAGGAGTTTCCTTGAGATGCATATTAACTCGACATGTTCAGTCACCAGAAAGCAAGCCAGTGTGGCCGAGGAAACGAAGCGAGGTGAGCTTGGATTGTGATGGCAGCTTAAAGACCAAATTTCACAGATTTCATGACGCACATCTCTGAAATCAAGAATGTATTTGAAATCAATGGCACTTTTCAGTCACGACCGGTCAGACAGTAGTTATTGCCATTGCCTTAGAAAATACCTTCACTGGTTTCGTTTGTATTTTCATTTTAAGTTTTCAAGAGCGTGACAGATGATAAAGATCTCAGTCTGAGAGTAAAATAAATCTAGAAATTCTAAGTAAGGTAGTATGATGAAATCGCCTTGCTTCTTATTAGAACCTAAAATAATGTGTCACATATTGTAATGAAGTCTTACACCCCAAAAATGCATTAATATGATTCACAAATTCAGAAGATCTCTCGCTTGTGTGGATTATGGGAGGGAAGAGTGGAGAGATGTGGCCAGGTAGGTGACTAGTAGTGAACAATGGTGACTCGGAACAGGATGGGGTAGCCAAGGCGGGGAGAAGCCGAGGGATTTGGGAATAGTATTCTATCCTCTACTCTGAATAGAAAACGAATAAAACACTGACCTGCCAGGAATTTTTGTGTTTGCCTGATTTGGTTTTTAGTCCTTTTGAAAGCCTTCTTTAACTGTACCACTTTTAGCTTTGTTTCATTATTTTACTTCAACAATTCAAATTGCTCTAACTTTAAATCAAAATCAATTTGAAAAATAGGCTTTTCTGATTGATCACATTCGTGATGATAACACAACTCAATATAATAGCAGTACTAGTAAATTTAATTCGTTGAGCACCTATTCTGTGAAAAGTATGCCTCAAAGCATATTTCATTAATTTGAATGTGCATGATAACCCTGAAAAGTTGTATTTTTATCTGCATTCCTGTATTTAATCTGTAGTTTACATATGAAGAAACTGAGGTTCAGGGTGATCGGTTGACTTGTTCAAAGTCATGGATCTAGAAGGCAGTACTGGAGCCAAGGTTGCAGGCCAGGTCTCCTTGGTTTGATTTTTGATAACTGTATATTTGACAGTTTCTACAATGTTGCTATTCCCACATTCAGATCTGTTCATGTCCCAGTTTTATTGGTTTTTATCTTTCATATTGTGGTGTAATTGAGGGCATGATCAACACATCCTTCCTTGAGTTGAATTAAATAAGCTAACAGCCACCATGGTGCTATTTTGTTTGATAGTGACAATCCCCAGGAAAAGAGCCTCTATAAGTGAATAGAAAAATGACTTGGACTATTTCAGTTAAAACAAAATTGCTGGATTTTATTTGTCCTTTTCCCCATTAGAGAAGAAAGTAATTACCTTATCTAACTGAAATGATGAAATGACAAATGGAGTTCAATTTCATCTTGAACCTGAAATCATTTTCTGGGAGTGAGGCAGTTTAAACTGTTCATTTGCAATCTTATAGATCTTATATAGTCAGAGAAAGAACAAATAAAATAAAATAAAATAAAATAAAAGAATATTTCTTACTTTCCTCTAGTTGTTTCAAAGCTTGGTTTTTGGTAGTCAGTTCTTTGGCTTGCACGGCTGTCACCTCTGCTGAGGTATGTTTCCCGCGGGGCTCGATTTCCCACGCCTCCAACTGCGTTTGGAGAGATCTCTTGTTGAGTTGACTTTTGGGCAAAGCTCTGAAGGAATTTCAGTGTCGAGTTGGAAAGGACCACTGACTCTTCTCCAGGATTGAACTTGGTGCTAGGGTTGGTTGGGAGGGCAAGAATTTGTAACTTTACCACTCCTTCTCCTGTCTTCTTTGTGGGTGTGAGGGTTTGGTTTCCCAAACCTTCAGGAGGTGCGCCTGTCTCTGAGGGAGGCGGTGTTGATTTCAGGAGACTCTCTTCAGAAGTTCTTGCCTCAGGAGTTGGAGTTATCTCAGCTGACATGATCTGAGTGGCTGGCAGCGTTTGGAAACCTGGTATTTTATTTAGAGGAACTGAAGCAGATGTCATAGTCTTCTGGGAGTTTCCATCCTCAGCTGTAGTCCCAGGATGCTTACTGTTACTAAGCCCAATGTCCCCGCTCCATAAACTAAAAAGCAGGACAAATAATCTTGCCCCCTTCATCTCAGTAGTTTGAAGCAAGAAGGCTCATGTACGATCGGGGGACAAAGTCCTTCAGGCCTTTCTGCTAGCTGCTTCCACACTGAATCTGCTAAGACGGGGCTTTGCCAATTTGCAATATGTAGAGGAAACAGGTTTCTGTGTTTTGTGCAGGACTCAGGAAGTTCAAGTTCCTGTTTCTGTAGGTTTTTTGTGATCTGTGACCTCCTGTAGGATGGCTCTATGGAAGCAGTGAAGGGTCTCTGACAAAGCTAAGGGTAAATGGGAAAACACAGACAATTATTATCAGGAAAACCCATGGGAAAAACATGCAGTAACTTTCCTGTCCTAGGTACACTCATGTTTCATGTTTCACTGATTTTAAAGAGAAGCTTCATGTTGACAACGGGGAGTATAAAATTTTGCTTGTGTAGGCTGAATAAAGGAATTTAACATTTTGTTCTCCTACCTAAAGAAATTTTTGTGATCCTTCTTATCCACTATGCCCTTCCCTGAGAGCCACATTTTGTTCAAGTGCTTATCCATGTGCACACACGTAAACATAGTATTTCTATTCTTTCATAGACCACAAGCTGAACTATGAAAAAATATGTATAGATATCTCCCTATTTTTATAAATGCATTTCAGCGGTATCATTACTTGAAGTTAACCTCAATGATTATAAGTAAAAACAGAAAAGGAAAGCATAAATAATTAAATTCTACAGGTCTACACAGAACTCACTTTAAATTTTGCTCTTAGAACTTCTACCAGAGATGCCCATTAACAGAATGAATAATCAGAATTTTACTTTCTCTATTTTCCAATCCTGATCTAGTGGTTGGGGGTAATTAATAGTTCACCACTAAGGAATAGATGAAGAAAAAGTGGAGTCACATGAAAATAAACACATATAATGCTTTCTTTATTGTAGTGTAAAATTATGCTAGTTTTTGGAAACAGAGAACTAAATAAATCAAAGAGCTGTCTGTAGTTTATTTTGTTAGAGATGATTCATGGGATTTATGATTTCATTTCTCCAGCAAATCTCTGATCCTCAGATTTCAAAGAACCTCTCCCGTCTGTAAAATTCCATAGTAGACTCTTTAGACAGATATGTAAGCTAAGTTATAACAGCACATTCATTCATTCAGTAGTAACCTAAACCCTCAGTTTGAGCAAGGTCCTCTCTTAGGTGCTGGGATTATAAAGGAAAGCAAAAATATTCTTGGCTGTCAATTAGCTTATGGTCTGTTATATGTTATTTGAAAGCTGGGTCCATGTGTAATTAATCTTTCTGTCAACTTCTGTGTCAGGTATCAGACTCTTACTAAATATTCAGTCATGTATCATTAAATTATTATTAGATTTCATTATTTTATTATTATTAGATTATTAAATTATTTCTTTCGGAATTGGAGAATTGGAAACCTAGTGCCTGTTTGGTTCTGTATTATTGTAAATATTGGCTCTTGTCCTTATTCCTGGACAGAGGACATGAGGATTTCAAACGAGGCTTAATGCTTCCCTGAACTACTAACTATTTGGTCTTAATACTTTTTTCCTCCTTCAGTGTTTGTCATTCATTTCTATGAGCATATTGTTGACCTATCAGAGAGTATATAATATGGGATTATTTAAACTAAGACACAAAATAATCAGCAACCCCAACAGACTTGGATATGAGGTACAAAGCATCTGTTTCTCAGATAAACCACAGAACAATCCACAAACCTTGCATTAGTGAAAGAGCAAAAGGCTCCAACATGGACAATTCAGGAAGCAATTAGTTACTAAAAAGAACAATGAAACTGCGTAATTTTGACAATACAAGCATGGTTTTCAGTACTAAGAAAAAGACATCACAACTTCTTTATCTGGAAAAGAGAGAAGCCACTACCTTTGGCTTAGAGAAGAACAGTAATTCAATAAAATTCAAGTAAAATAGTTCTATTTAGTATACAATTTTAAACCCATTTTCTTAGATTTAGTAAAAGTAGATAGGTTGTCTTTGAAAGTTTAAAAAACACCCAGAGTAATGTCACTCATGAATTTTTTTTGTGTCTACAGTTTGAAAGACCACCTTGATCCCGGTCAGGACAAGTGGATTTGGGGATAAAGGATACCCCTTGGATCTATAACTGATAACAAATAGCTATCAAATAGTAATAAAAACTGAATGGAGCTAAGCCACTCATTATACCTCTTGTAAGGTATGGGCCAATAATGACTTTTGCTCACCCACATCCTAGCTTACAAGTGACCTTTGATCAAAAGGCTAAAGGTTCTGTATCTCATTATTGATCTACTAAGCCATGTTGCATTGCAACTCTTCAGAGAATCCCCAGTTCATTCAATGGTTTGGGGTATATGGATTAGCCTTTAATTAGATACATAAAATATTTGAACTCCAGAAAATATCATAGTTCTAACCTCAAATTCTGCTTTCTAAGGCTCATTAGTAGTCACCAAATAACAATTAAGAAAAATAATATTCCTGAGATGACTGCCTGAAGAATACTCGGTTCATTCATTCTTCTAGATATTGTAAATACCATTGTTGGATGAAACTATACTATCGGTTTTATATACCTAGACCCCATCATTGCGGTATACCCCCATTTTCCACTATGTTGTTTACATTAAATTATGTTTTACCATATTGCCATTTATTCACTTTGAATATTTTATAAGAAAACTATCATGAAACTCATTATATTATGTGCTATCAGGAGGTTTAGGTCATTTTTAATTTTATCATAAACATAGGATTGAATATATACTGCAAAAGGAGTTATTTCTAGGTGATAAGATAATGAATTTGTTTTATTTTTCTTTTTTTCCTTATAGCACGTATGAATCAATGTTCTAACCACAAGGAGAAAAAAGCAAAAAAACAAAAAAATGTGAGTTAAAAGAGAACTTGGATTGAGGCGTTCACTGTAGATTGTGCTATGTGTTATTCAAAGCCATTTTTATAGCTGCGAGAGTTATTATTCTTTGTAAAATGTTGGGTGTATGGAATAACTTCCACTTGATTAACAGGATTTCTCGGCAACTTCTTTATTTTTTATATAAGAAATTCTTATTCTCTTAAAATAGTTCAAAACATCTAAATATGATTTCATTATAGCCCTCTGTAAGTTGGAGCTGTCAAATATAATTGCAGAAAACAAAGTTCTAACTTTTTTCAATTTTGTTTTTCGAAGTTGTTTGAAAAATATTTAAAACCTGTTAAATTTACATACAGACAAAGGGAATTTATGGGCATACAGCAAAAGGGCTGGGAGAAGGAGAGAAACAGATTTCTGCATGATTTTAATGAGCCAATGTGGTAGTTAAGTTAAATTTGGCATATTATTTAATTCTCACAATCATGTTAGGTAAGTATTCTATTCTCCTTTTACTCAGGGGAAATTAAGCTTAAAGAAGTTAAATAACTTCTTAGGGTAACACACTAGAAATTGATAGAACAGATATTTATGCCTAGTTCTGATTCTTTCTACCATCTGATAATGCCCCTAAAAAGAAATAGTAAACATTTAAGTTTAGAGAGATTTAGAGAAAATAATGTTCAAATTGTCTTAAATTTATTAAATTCATTTTCTCAATTGTTTTTAACGTTTTCATTTTTTGTTTTTATCTCATAGCTAAAACACATATTGAGATACTTCTAATAGTCTAATGATTTCTATTAGTTTGAGTTTATGACGTTAGAGGAGAAAATTTGTGTTTTTATAATATGTTGTGTTCAGTGCAATGATGACTTTTCCTTTGGTTGGGTGCCTTTTTCAATTCCGACACAAAATTGTAAGAGCTGATGTTGCCATATCCTTGACAGCACAGCAACCATACTGCCTTCATTTTCTGGAATGGAACCTCCAGGAAAGCAAAAGACTGCTGCATTCTGAGCATCTAGACGGTAGACATTCAATAAATATTTGTTGAATGAACGAATGAATGGATGAAGCTATGAATGCACTCTTATATATAGTAGTAACACCTGTCAGGGAGATAAGGAGAGAGGAAGTCTCTATTTTACCTCCTCATAGCCACACAAAAGAAAAAAAAAAAAAAAAGGAATATAATGCACTTTTTCTAGGAACACAACTTCAAAAGTCTAGAATATTCTTTCGATCATATTGCGTCCTGTAAGTTCCTCCTAAATATAATTCAAAAAGCCCATTGCTTCCACACGTTTACAAAATAAATTTGAGAAGGCTTATTTTGAAACCATCATAGCCACCTTAGAATCATAAAGCAGACTAAAAGCTGTATAACAAAGGATAGTGAAGCAGTAGCGATGCCAGAAAAATATAAGATATGTAAATAAGTTAAAATTAAGAACAAATTTAGGTCCTAGTGGACTTTCAGGAAAGGGAATATGGAAGTATAATGAATTATATAATTCTTAATAGTAAGTGTGAGAAGCATATTAGTTTCTAAGAAAAAAAAAACACAACATATTTTTACTAACATTAAACTTTTAACTTTATAATTAAGAACATAAGAAAGAACACACTAATAAAGATGTCCAGATGTCCCTCATAAGGAAATGTCTGTAGGGATACTTTGCAAAGCTATTCTCTTGCTTATTTTATATTTCCCATCTAAGTAGAACAGTACCTTTGAAGTGAAACAGTTAATTTCAAAAGTTTTTAAGATTTATTTTTCTTTTGGTCATTTCAGAAATAATGTTTTCATTTCCTTAAGAGAAAATTATATCTGGTTATTAAGTGATTATCATTAGTGACTTCTGCTTCAAAAAATATGGAATAGACATATTTGCCCTAGTCCTCCTACTAAAGTACATCTAAAAATCCTGGTATTACATATAAAACAAATGTAGGTAGACTCTGAAGGGTGGAGAAGAGAAGGCAGGATGGCTAGGTGACCCCGAGGAACAACCCAGTATTGAGTTCCTAACCACTCCGCTCCCACCAAACACCGTGGAAAGCAGCCTCACCCCTGCCAGCCAAAGCTGGATTAGTGTCAGAGAAGACCAAGAGAGGAGGCAGAAATG